ATCCTGGCTAAACCAGTGGTCCCCAACCTTTTCAGGTTGTCGGGCGCCCGGGGCCGGCGCTCCCCCCGCCAAGCGCCGCGCGCCATGTGCCCGGGGCCAGGCCAGCCCAGCCCTGAGCACCTGGCGGGCGCATTCAAATGCCCCTGCGGGCGCCATGGCGCCCGTGGGCACCGTGTTGGGGACCACGGGTCTAAGGTTTCTCTAGTTTGTAGATTTTTTTCAGTGATGGATGCTAAGGATGTTAAAATGCTGTTAAAAAGGTAACTGTGTAACACTAAAAATCATAACGGTTACATGGTTATATGTGCTGTGAGCTTTGCAGTAGAAAACTTAAATAAGCTTTATACTGCAGAGCCCCCAGTGAGGCTTCCCCGGGAGTGGGGCCGGCAGACCTGCTGGAGTGGGGAGCCAGCGTGTAACCTGTGGAAGGAGGGGACGCTGGTGGACCCTGCAGGGCTAAAGCAATCCCCTGCTCAGGGCAGGTGGGGAGCAGCTCCAGCTTCTAGTGGTTAACTGTTGAGGCTGAGGCTTGATGAATAAGCCTTAATTGGAGCCATATAAGTCGCTAGGAAACATGTACCTAAATCTGTACCTAAGTGTGAAACTGCATCTAGTAGCGGTGATGTTGTTTTGTTTTTGTAGGTTGTGAAGATATTATTGCTGAGAGCATCTCACTAGACACTTTAATTGCCATTCTCAAGTGGAGTTCTCAGCCATATGGCTCCAAGTGGGTACACCGCCAAGCATTACATTTCCTCTGTGAGGAATTTACCCACGTCATGACTTCAGATGTCTTTTATGAACTGAGCAAGGAGCACCTGCTGACTGCTATCCAGTCTGACTATTTACAGGTAAATGTTTAATCTCCTATCATTCAAAATGTAACTAATTATGTTTTGGAGCTGTATTAAACATTTAATAGAGACATTAAAAGTGAACAAAATCTTAAATCTTCTTAACTGCAAAGAATAGGTATTAATATTGTAATTCATTTTGTTTGCAATATAAAGCTTTTTCTCTTTCACATGTACATAAAAACAGAGGAAGTGATTAAGGAAGGTACTCTGTTTTCTTGTCTTACAACCCAACCTAAACTGGCCGAATAAAGTATTGCTTCAAACCTGATGAATAGTCTAGAACAGTGTTTCTTAAATTTTTTGAGGCCACGGAACACCAAACAATATTTTTTTAATGCGGTACACCTATGAAAGTGTTACTTCTTAGTTTTTGTCTTTTTTTGTTTGATTACAATCAAAGAGGAGGTCGCGGCACACCTGTGAGTTGTTCACGGCACACCAGTGTTCCGTGGAACATACTTTAAGAAACACTGGTCTAGAAACAGTTTCAAATTATTCTGAATGAAACTGTCCTATGTTTAAATTTTCCTTGTTTGTTAGGTTTTTATGGCAATTGTGTGATCTCATTTTTGCTGCTTTAATGTATAAAGTATGTAAAAATGTTTTGGTTTGTGTTTAAACAAATTGCTTAGTTTTTACCTTCTAAATGTTAATAATTGTAGCAACCTTCCACAAGGATATATGCTGTTTGCTCATAAATCTATCTTGAAAGGGCAGAAGTACTGAAAATTTACTGATGGCCTTTCTCTGAAGTATTTTAGTGATCTAAATTAAACAGAAACTAATGAAAATTGATTTGAAGAGCCTTACTAAAAATCTCCTTCCACTCTTCAGTTCTTGTGACCTAGCTGTTTCGCTTGTTTTTCACTTATCAGGTTCTGTGTCACATGGAATGCTGTGAACTTGTAATGAACTATTGACTTCTTTCAACAAATGGAAAAAATTGTTCTGGGTGGCATAGGTCATCATCTCTTTCCTCTCCAGATCTCACATGTAAACAGCTAAGATTAGAGACTCGGGCTAACCTTTATTTTTGTATTGTTCACGTATCTGAGTTTTCTGTTTCCTCTCAAAGTAGTTCAATTTGCAGTGTGTCTGAATGTATAACTATATCTAGAATCTAAAAGATGTAAGCGCCATTGTATGGCAGTGAAACTCAGTTTCATTCACTGCATTGCATTCAGCCTCTGTATTCTTCCTTCCTGTCCTACTTACAGATTCTGCTGATTGAAGACAAAGCTCTTCACAATTTCATAGTGAAATTGAAATTTCTATGCTTGTAGATGCATAGAATAACTTCGGTAACTTCTATGGCTCGATAAAAGTTAATTTTTCATCTTAATTTATTGGCATTTTCTCATCTTCCCAGACTGCTTGTTCTTGCTTGTTGTTGTTTGGACTTCTGGCATCCTAGAAATAGACAATAGGCGAAGAGTAATGGCTATACACACCACTTGGGTGATCCATGAGCAGCAGCTGGTTTGGTATCTTTGACTTGTTTTTTTATCAAAAAAATGCCAATTTGTCAAAACTAAGACTTTTTGTAGGAACATATTGGTTTCAGTAAGAAGATTTCTCATGTTTAGGATGGAATTTGAGAGCGAGTGAGAGTGACACTAAATTCAGATTAGGGATGTAATAGTGTAGTTGATTAACTGATAAGCAAACGCTTATAGGTTAATCCTATAGACTACACACGTTTCTCCCCCCCCCCCCCAATAAATTTTTTAGCGGGCTGGTCAGCAGCCTGGCTCAGTCCTGGCTTGCAATGGGTCCGGGACCTACCCCTGCTGCAGCTCTGCATTTAAAGTGTATTAGGGGCTATGCTGGCAGGCAGCCTGGCTCAGTTCTGGCTCATGCCAGATACCTGCCCCAGACAGTGGCTGCTGCCACCCCGGACTGCTGCCTCTGTATCAGAGGCAGCAGCATGGGGCAACAGGCAGCCGGTCTGCGAGGGGAGCTGGTTTTTAAACTGGCTTCTCTCGCAGACCAGCTCCTGTCTAGCACACCACACTGCTGCCTTTGATACAGAGGAAGCAGCAAGGAGTGGAAGGGGATTCCTCAGAAGTGGGACCAGAGCTTGCTGGCTGCTGGCTCTGCCTTCGGGAACTACAGAGTAGTCGAGTAACCGATAAGAATTAATGAGGTTACTCAACTATTCAATTAACCATTATTTAACATCTTAGTTCAGATTAGGGATGTTACAGTACAGCCGATTAACCAGTAAGCAAAAGCTTATAGGTTAATGCTATAGACAACACACATTCCCTCCCTACCCCTTTACCCCTTGCCAGTACATTTTTTAGCAGGGTGGCCAGCAGCCCAGCTCAGTCCCAACTTGCACTGGGTCCTGGACCTACCCCTGCTGCAGTTCTGCATTTAAAGTGTATTAGGAGCCAGGTGGGCAGGCATTCTGGCTCATGCCAGGTCCAGGAGCTCAGACCCCTCCCCCCCCAGACAGGGGCTGTCCAGGGACTATAGTCTAGTCGACTAACCAATAAGAATTCATGAGGTTATTCAATTAACCTTTATTTAACATCCCTAGTTCAGATAGCTCTATGAATTAGGCAAAGCATGGACTTGAACTTAAGTCTTCCACGTGAGAGTTGAGTGTCCAAATCACCAGGCTAGTAGCTATTCTAGAGTATTTCATGTTTGTGTGTTTAAATGTTGAAATGTATTCTGATGTGGAACAAACATTTTGGAATCTTTTTTTTTCCTCTCATTAAATAGAATTCTTGATTACTGCCAGCCCTAGTTAATAGTTTGTCGCAACTGGGAGCAAACCATATATTTTCTCTGAGTCTGGGCTTAGTACTGCACCTCAGGAAGAACTCTCCACAATTCTCTCTCCAGGCCACAGACACAGTAGTTTCCAAGTCTCCCTTTTTACCAGAATTTTCACATGGCATTTAACTAATGTTTCAGTTTCTTCAGTAGCTTCAGGGTATTCCTCAAAACTACAAAACAGAACAAAAAGCAAAATAAAGTGTTTTGGCTTTGAGGACGGTTTGAAGGAAAGCGGCTCTTCTCCCACTCCCCAGCCTCAGAAATAACAGATGGAGACTACAGGCCAAAGGAATCCAGCTCCTACTTGGAGTATAGGCAAGAGCCACACCACCAGATTCGAAGAGGCCACAGTGAAACCAGCCTCCACTAGGCATTGTGCCAAATCTCAGAGTTTGGGAGTGTACTACATCAGAGAAGGGGGCTTGAGATAATCCAAGAACTATATGTATTAGAACTCCCTCATTGCTCTAGAGACAAACTAAATTAAAATAAACCAACATGAATAAGATCTTTGTTTGCATCAAATTATGCATATTGCAATATTCCATTCTCCTGTGCATTGTAACGGTAGCACCAGTTCCATGGAGTCACAAATATTTTGGTAAGGTAACAATGGCATGCAGCCCATTTAAGATTTCTGGTCTTGGGTCTACAGGGAGATATGTTTCAAATGGAAATGCTAAAATGGGGCTTTCCAGAATTTCACAATATGAAAATACACCTCTTGGAATCTTGTGAGTATGAGATTGGGAGAGTCACTCAGATATATTTTGACTACTGCTACAACAAGCATTTTCATATGGTAACTTTGCATGATTGTTCACAAATGCCATATCATCCCTTCGACTTAAAGGTATTTGTTTACCTCTGACTGGCTTCTCATCATGTTATGCAGGGTCCGATAGCCATCACAGTGTCTCTAGAAACATGACTTTGAATGAACAAGTAGAAGGGCCAGTTGCAGCCCTTGAAAAATTTGGTCCCTCCTCCCCCGACCATCTTTATTTCAAAAGAGAGAACACAGTATCTGATTTGCCAAAAGTTAACATACGCCTTCTGAAATAATCTGACTCAGCTTCTGAGATGGTGGGTCTTGTGTAAACACCCCCACACAATTTTTGCTTTGTTTTCAACCATGAATTGCAGCAAATCAGTATATAAAGATGTTGGTCCAGATTCAGTTCTATAATCTCCTACTGAATGAGTACATAATCTCATCTCTTAATATTATTTAATAGTTACCTGATGTTAGGTCCAGAGAATCTGGTCATGATTACAGGTCCCAGATTGCATGTAGAAACATATCTGAACTCTCATGACTTCAGGGGGCTTGGAAGCCCCAGGAGAAGACACGGAATATAACCTCTTTCATGCTGTTGACCATCGTGCTCAATCCTTCATTTCCGGCAGATAATTCTTCATACACTTGGGGCATGTTTTGAAAGACAGAAAATCTTCATCACTTCTTGGAGAAACAGCTTTGCTCATGTCCTAGCCTTGCTCGCTCTGTTCCTCAGGGTTCTACATCAAAAAGGAAAGCTAAGGTCAGCTAGCTCAGCAAGACAAACCAAGTGCTGTCACCATCTAGCCTGTCTATGTATCCAGTGCTGCCTACCCTATCAGTTCAGAAGCTGAGAGGAACTATGGTCACTTTTTTTAAAATTATAAGTATTCTACTGGCATCTGAGAGGAAATTCACAAATTAAGTCTATATGTATCACATGAAGTTTATATATTGATATTATAAGAAACAGACATATAGACAAAGGCAGCTGAAGCAAAGGATATTCCAGTGCTTTTAAAAGATGCTCTTTCTGCCAGACTCTCTGGTACAGCAACATCTTTGGTCTTGACAAATCACAGATGTTGTTGGGCCATAGAAGTTCAACCTCTGTTTCTTCACACAATACACAGTCAACCTGTCAAACTCCTTGCAAGAGGATGTTGTAAAGATTAGGACTTTAACAAGGTTCAAAAAAAAGCTAGATAAATTTATGGAGGATAGGTCCATCGATGCTTATTAGCCAGGATGGGTAGGAATGGTGTCCCTGTGCTTTTTTTGCTCAACAAGTTTGTGCCTGGAGTACCAGTACCTTTTTTATTAAAAAAAAAAAAAAAAAAAAAAAAAAAGCACTGGGTGTCCCTAACCTCTATTTTGTCAGAGGCTGGGAATGGGTGACAAGGGAGGGATCACTTGATTGCCCATTCTATTTGTTCCCTCTCAGGCACCTTGCAGTGGCCACTGTCAGAAGACAGGATACTGGGCTAGATGGATCATTGGTCTGACCCAGTATGGCTGTTCATATGTCATTAGATGTCTCCCCCAATGTATTGCGGTGATAATGTAGATCTTTAGATCCTACTATTTTTAAAAAAAGAGGCAGATTATTTTTCTGCCAACTTGCAAAAATACCAGCCAGGTGGTAACTCTTAATGCTGAAAAGAAAATGGTGGAACAAATGACATAGGTTAGTTTTACAACTTTTTATAAATAGAAAGAATTTATTTAAAATGGAGATGTTTTTTAAATCTAGAAACAATCAATAGTTTGAGGACTTTTTGGAGGGTTTTTTTTTTTTAAATTAATGATCACTTTCTAGATTAGATATTTACACCAGATTCTTTGAAAATTGTTTTGTATTGGGAAACTTATATTGTGTAGCTGAACATAAAGCTAGACTTTCCTATTCTATCTATCTGTTCCTTAATTTAGATACCAGTTTTACTATGAGTACTCAAAGCAACAGTGGTGCAGTAGAATGAAGGCTAATGTGAATATGCTTTTGTTGAGAGGTGACTTGACTCAAGTTTTTCGTTTGAGAAATTTTTATTTTCAGTGGTTACCATACAACACATTGTTAATAAACTAAGTATGCATTATGTTTTATTTCTATATTATAGGCAAGTGAACAAGATATTCTTAAGTATCTTGTTAAATGGGGAGAGCATCAGTTGATGAAAAGAATAGCAGACCGAGGTAAGATCCTTGTTTTTAAAGAATAAACTTGGTAGAGGAATGGAGAACCTATCTCAAACTGATAGTTTTTAGTTCATGAAAACATGTAGTCTGACTATACACTATGAGCAAAGGAGTGCTGAACAGAAAGATGCACTATACTGGGAATTTGTTTTCAGTAAAATATCAGCAGTAGCAAATATGATTCTAGAAATAGCCAAAAGCATAATCATTCTGGATATTAGAGACACAAGATAGGTGAGGTAATATTGTTTATTGTATAATTTACAGGGCTCGACAAATCCGCTTATCTAGTCGCCCATGGCAGGTAGATTTCAGCTGGTTGCCCCATTCACCGGCGGTTCACGCATGCGCACTGCGGGGCTGGCGAGTGGCTTTTGCTGGGATGGTCGAGCCCTGATAATTTGTATTAGTTTTTGCTGGGGAAAGACAAGCTTTGCACTTACACAGAGCTCTTCCTCAAGTCTTGGGAAAGGTACTCAGAGACTGTCTCTAGAGTCAATTGGGTGATAAAGCTTTTGTCATTCACAGATGCTTAAACCTCTCACCCACGAAATAGGACAAAAGTTTTGCTGTGGCAAGTATTAGTGTAAATAGTGCTTTACACTGCCTGACTTTTAGCAACATGACTGTGTCCACACACTCATGTCACTAAAAACTGTGTAGTGTAGATATACCCAGAGTGTTAACAGCTATTCAAACGGGGAGATCCATCCTGCATACATGCCTATACTCCACCTTTGTCCGTAATTCTTTTGAGACTCTGAGGATTGTAACCATGATGCCCTGTGCATTACTATTGCTGTAGCTGTGGTCCTAGCTGCTGTGTAGGCCACATCCACTGCAGCTTGGAGAGCTGTTTTTGCTATGGATTGGTCCTCTTTAATCATGGATTGGAGAGGAGATCTCTTGTTTTCAGGAAGGTCTTGTAAGAGGTCCGGGGCCACCTGGCCACTGTCAGCCCCACTGCCAGGGCCAGTTATGTTCCCAGGAGGGGTTTCATGGGAATCTCTGGCCTGGGACCTGCATGGCCACCACCTGGCCCTACTTCCACTGGGATTCCCCGGCCGGGGAAGAGGTTCCTCGGCTGACTCCTGGCCCAGCCGACACCCCAGGTTCTTCTTCAAGAGGCGTCCCTGGGGGCGCTCCACATTAGGTGCTGAGCATCCCAGCGCCTCTCGACAGATTTTTCTTAGCAGTGCATTGGGGCCATGCATGCGCAGTGCACATGAGCCTCCCCCGGTGCCATCACACATACACCCCCACCACCCCAGTTCCTTTCTGCCATCCCCGGCTTCAGACAGAACTCTTCAGTGCTCTCACAACAGACTTCTCTCAGTTTATTTCCTTCAATAGTTGTTTAGAATTAGTTCTACCTTCACAGTCCCTGTTACCTGTTAGTTCTATTACTTCTTAGAGTTAGTTATATTTAAAAAAAAAAAAGACGTCAGCAGTCTCGAACTGCTCTCTCTGAATAATACCGTGGCATGGGCTCACACGGTTTCAAACGCTGTGCGCTCTGCAAGGATGCAATGCCAGCATCCGATGGGCACAATAAATGTGTAAAGTGCCTGGGGCAGTCACACTGTCAGGAAGACTGCCAGCACTGCACTAAGCTGAAAATGCGAATGCGCAAGGATAGGGAGCAGCGCCTTAAAATGATCCCCACAGACAAGGGCAAACAAAATACCTCTGACCCGGGCTCAGGTCAGAGTGATATATCTAAAAGGGATAGTCGCCTAAGCCCGCAAGGGCAAGCTGTATGGCTCAGCACACCTTAAAGCTGATAGCAAGAAGCCAGACCGCTCAGTCATTAACCGCATGAGCACGTTTGACCGCCCAGGTACTTCGGGTGAGCACCGAAAGGGCTCAAAAAATGCAAAAAAATCTTCCATTACAGAGGCAACAGGCCACCCAGTGCCTGCCTCTCACACCGCGCTGCCTGACACAGCACCCACTGCCCTCCCACCTGCCTTAGGAGCACTTCCTGCTTCCTCAACAAGCAGGGTGGGGCGCGCTCGCCACCCTATGTAAGGAGGCCATGCGTCTCTGGCACCTGTGTGTCACGCACAATATCACGCCTCAGGCGGAGTACCTCCCTGGGTGCAAAAACCTACTTACAGACACACTGAGCAGATCCTTTGGAGCCCACGAATGGTCGCTCAAGGACTCTGTCCTCAGTCAGGTTTTCCGCAGGTGGGGCTATCCCCACCTAGACCTGTTTGTCTCGGCACGCAATGCCAAGTGCAGGAACTACTGTTCCCTGCTGGGGCTGGGGAAATTCTCCAAGGGAGACGCCCTAACGACCACGTGGCCAAAGGGCGTTCTCTATGCTTTTCCCCCATTTCCACTAATTTCCAGGGTATTGACCAGAGCGAGAACTGTCAGGTCCTCGATCATCCTCATAGCCCCCAGGTGGCCCAGACAGTTCTGGTTCCCCATCCTGGTGGACGTGCTGACCCAAGACCCTACAGCACTCCTTCCAGTTCGGGATCTGTTAACCCAACCTTGGGACGGGGGGATAATGGTTCACCCAGATCTCTGGTCTCTTCACCTAACGGCCTGGTTTATCCGTGGTTGAACCAACCAGAAAGGGAATGTTCCCGACAAGTACAGATGGTGCTCCTTAGCAGCAGGAAGCCCTCTACTAGACGGTCGTACGCTGCCAAATGGCGGCACTTCTCGTCTTGGGCGTCCCGGAGAGGAGTACACCCGTCTTCGGCCCCTATTCCAACTATTCTCGACTATCTCTTTCAACTCCATTCTAGTGGCCTGTCCTTTTCTTCTGTTAAAGTCCATGTGGCATCTCTCTCCGCCGTCCATGTTGGTACGGCAGGAGCCTCTCTTTTTTCTAACCAGGTGGTTAAAAGGTTTCTTACTGGTTTGGAGAAATTGTACCCCTCGGTGAGGGCTCCATACCCTGCCTGGAACCTCAACCTGGTCCTTCACAGGCTTATGGCCCCTCCTTTCGAGCCATTGGCTTCGTGTTCATTGAAGCACCTTTCATTGAAGGTTGTTTTCATAGTAGCCATTACATCTGCTAGAAGGGTATCAGAGCTAAGGGCGCTGACTATAGAACCGCCCTACCTTGTTTTTTCGCATGATAACGTAAGGCTACGGCCTCATCTGGCCTTCCTCCCGAAGGTGGTTTCTCCTTTTCACCTGTCTCAGGAGATTTATCTACCGGTGTTCTTCCCTAAACCACACGCCTCCCCTAAGGAGCGCGTTCTACACTCCCTGGATGCCACGCGCGCGCTGGCATTCTATATTGACCGAACCAAGCCCTTCCGTAAATCCCAACAATTGTTCATTGCGTTTGGGGATAGGGGGAAAGGTTCACCTATTTCTGCGCAAAGGTTATCAAGATAGGTGGTGCAATGTATAGCAGAGTGTTATCAACTGGCTGGTAAAACCCCACCCAGGGTGAAGGCACACTCTACCAGGGCGCAGGCGTCCTCGGTAGCCTTTGGTGCCCAAGTACCTATCACAGAAATTTGCAGGGCAGCCACCTGGTCTTCCCTTCACACGTTTGCAACACATTATGCGCTACCTCAACAGGCCAGGGAGGATGCAAGGGTGGGCTCTGCAGTCCTCGAATCTGTGATGTAAATATGTAAATATATAGATCTGGTTGTCTTTGTTCTGGGTTGGTGACTTGTCACTGTTTA